GTCACATCATTTGTAGATGCATGTTTCTGAAAAGGGCTAACCCCCCCTGCCACCTGGGCTTAGCATTAAAGTGAACACTATTCTGACAGACAACACACACACACACACACACACACACACACACACTCTCTCTCTCTCTCTGTGGGTGGAGGGTCAGTGAGGATGGTAAAGATCATCTGGGGTCCAGTTTAGTTCTATATAAATTCTGTGTCCCCGTGTCTTTTTCAGGGTCTGGTCCATTCTCCTCTCTCATTGGCCAGAGGACCAGGGTCTGTTCCTCAGTCTCAGTCTGTTGTGGTACAGACACTAATATGAACCAAGCTACCAGAACACAACAGAACTCTGACGGACTGGTACTGAACCTTCGTCTCTCTTGGAGTCCAATAAAATCCTCCTTTGTCTTCCTGAACACTTCATCCAATCAGCATGCAGAACAGCTGCCATGCCCACTGCTCCATTACCACCCCATAGTCAACAGATCACTCCAGAACTTTCCCACTGAAGCTGAGCTTCAACAGGGTTCAATACACAGACAGACATGAGGCTAAAAAACAGGTCAATTAGACAGTAGAGGTTTAACAGTTGATTTTAAATGACTTGATTTTTGATGACGCTGTACTGACGGTGAAGGCTGTGTCCTTCAGACAGTCAACACTGACAGTCGGCAGGTCTATATTCCACTGTCTGCGAGGATGTTCTTGCAGACAGAGTGAGTCTCAGACTCTACGTCTCAACTTCCACGGAGCTCCGTGTTGTCAGGACTAGCAGGTATTTCACCAGCCGACTCTTTGACTGGTTCGTACCAGTAGAGATCTCAGAGACATTCACAGACGGCGGTGATAAAAATATCATTTCCTGTCTGAGAACTCTCCACCTGTACTGTGGTTGAACGCTCCGCTGAGCCCCCGGCCCACAGCACCACTGATGTAAAGTTGCTGGAAGGAGGCCCCCAGGGACCAAGACCACTTTAACCGCCGTCTCCATTAACAGGCTCCCAGATATTATTAAAGTCCTTGGAGAGATGGCGTACTCTAACCAAGCGTTTACCCTCTCCCACTCTCCCCTCTGCTCCTCCCTCTCATCTCTGTTACTCAATGAAAAAAACTGTTGAGGAGAAAAAATATGAGATTGATTTATTTGCTACTGTGTTCTTTGGGATGGAGTCCTTCTCCCTCTCTCTCTCCTTCTGCTCAGACCCAAACCAATTAGCCAGCCGAGCACTTGTAGCAGAGAATGTAGGGCAAGCGAGGAGTAATATAAAAGTATTGACTTTTCTGTGACTGTATGTGGCGTGAAAGGGGGCCGTGGCCTTGTCCGACATGAAAGGAGCTCCATTAATTTCACTTATTTCACCCAGGCCTTGTCAGCTGACCCTAATGCATCCTGGGCACACTTTTTCCATGCTAGCACTCAGACAGCGCAGCGCAGCTCTGGTGACCAAATTAGGTTACATTATGTACCATATGGAGGAGGGAGGGAGGGAGGGAGGGAGGAGTGGGGGGGGGGGAAAAA